AGAACAAAGATAAAAGTTGAATAATTGCACTCGAATGACTTTATCCATCGTTTACTTTAATAAATAAAGAGTATTTCTGTCCCCCGTCCTATTTAGAAGTACCTAACCTATACCCATTGCGAAATTCATTCGTTTTTTGTTCAGCTTGTCGTTTTCACTGTTGAACTGTAATTTAATGTTATACACATGATAAATTTTAGTTCCTCTATAATATACAGGCGATCATTATTTGTATATCAGGCAACGTGTTAAACATTTTCTTTATGGTGGCTGTACACGCTCGTCGAGACACCACAAAGCAATAAGCAAGAATAATTGTAAAGAGTAAGAATTTTTAGTTGTCAATTACTGTACACTGAACCCTGTGTACGACAAAGGTCAAATCTAAAGTTCAAAGTTTAGACATGACATGACCTTGTTCGTACGGACGTAGTACTATTATTTATACTGTGGTACGAACCGCTCTGGTACCATACAATTCACCGAACTTCGAAATTAGAACCTGTCTCATACGACTGAAGTTTGTGAAATGGACCGTACCAGTACGACCGTCGTTACGTGAATGGTTTCCTTTAACACGTTAATTGCCAATCACGCGACGTCGCGTGTTCCCAGTACTCTTCAATTTGGCCCTTCACGCGACGTCGCGTGAAGTGTCCGACGAGTTTAGTATGAAGCGTATCGCCTGGGCCGGAGCGTTATCGCAACGGTGTTTTTTATGGGCCTCTAGAGTAAGGACTAAGCTATTGTAAAGTGGGCGTGGCCATCCGAATCATGCGATAGTTTTAGTGCTACGTAATTGGTTATTTCGCTTAGCGTCGCCACTCGAGCCGGACGTCTTTCTTGTTTGTTTTTAGTTAGTTGTGAACAAATAATACGTATTTTTTTGTAGTATAAAGTGATAATAATTATAATAAAACAAAATTTATAATGAGTGATCATCAACCTGGTACCTCTAGGTGTACGAAACGATCAAACGAGATACCTTTGCGAGCGCAATCAAAACGTGTTTTGTTGCACGAATCGGATATTCTTGACGCTTTAGGAAACTCTGATGAGGATGATTTTGTGGTAAGTGATGAAGACGAAGATTTTTTTTGGGTGATGATGATGGAGACAGCTCAACCCTGGAGTCGGAAGAAGATGAAGAAGGAGTTATATCACCGCTACCACCTAGTGAAATTCGATTTTCATCTGCAGAAAGGGAGGAGTTGAATGAAACGATTGAAGAGTCAGCTATGCCACATGAGTCTCCTGAACCTGCCACTGAAGGATCAACCTCACAATGGAGTACTTCTTGCTCGTCTATGAAACAAATACTATTCGTTCGAGAGTCAGAGCTGCATGTAGAACCGCCATCACATCCAATAGATTATATTTGTTTATTTTTCAATAAAGAATATTTGAGAATGATCGTGGAGTGCACAAACAGATACGCCGAACGTATGAAAAGCTCCAGTGAACATCGTCATTCACATATTTCAAGATGGAAAAAGTTGACCGTTGAAGAGTTCAAAACATTTCTGGGCCTTCTGTTACATACTGGCACTGCAAAAATGAACCGATTGACAGATTATTGGAAGGGTCACTGGTTATATAAATCATGCTTTTCGAAATACGTGTCAAGAAACAGATTTTTTATTATTTTACGTTGTATACATTTTACTCTCCCTGATGAAGAAGAAGACGCCACTGCTAGGCGTCTAAATAAATGTCAAAAAATAGTCGACAATTTCAATAATACAATGAATAATATATATTATCTAGGCCAGAACATATCTTTAGACGAGTCGATGGATTTATGGCGTGGCCGCCTATTTTTCCGACAATACATCAAAGGAAAACGACACAAGTATGGCATCAAACTATACGTGCTCGCAGAACCGGATGGCTTGATTTTAAATTTCCACGTGTTTGCCAGTCTTTCCTAAAGTTGCTGTTCATTATAATTGTAGACTTCGGTGTCTTAAATTAGAATGATAGTAGTAGTTGCATGTTTCTTTGATATTTTGTTATTTTTTGTGTTATATAATTCAAATAAAAATTATTGATACTAAAAATATTTAATTTTATACATTTGAACTCATAATTTCACAAAAGTGCTAAGGTATTCCAAAACTCGACGTCGCGTGATGGGGCCCCTAAGGATAAATGTATACTCCACATGGCCCATCACGCGACGTCGAGTGATATATAACTATATTATATAAAATATTAAATATATATACTAAAACCATAAACACACCCGCAAATAGTATTTGCTGTACTTAAGAGTTATTTCATAAAAAAAAAGTTTTGGGCCACCAGCAGAAAACTTCAATTTTAGCTTTGGCAATGAACGTGTTAACGCTTGGTACATTTATGAACGATGCGACTTGTTTATCGACTACTGGTAAAATATGAGTTGTGATGATATTTTGAAAGGAGACATACGCTTTCATACATTCTTGGGCCCAGATTGTAAATAGATGAAAGTGGTATCAATTAATAGGCTATATATTATCAAAACATCACTGAAAATTCGGCGGACTTTGGCAATCTGAGAGCAAAGTTATAAGAGATTTAGTAAAAAACACAGAAACACGCACCGTACTGAACGATACGAGACGAGTGATCATAGATTGAGTCAGGCAGGAGCTGTCACTGTCAGCACAGATTAAAAATACAGTTGAAAAACACGAGTATGAAATCGAACTGTTAACGAGAATCAATTTTAAGATTTATTTTTATTGTGTTGGTATTTTATTTTTTAAACTGTTGACACTATGTTAATTGTAATTTATATTATTACTTTGATTGAATCAATCATTTGCTGTAAGTTGTTTTTATGTTTAATTGTTAAAACTCTTTCACATTAATCGATTAAAGTAATCGATTTCTTACTTTATTCGTGACATAAACTTATTTTTAAGATTGTGAACTGGGCAAATTTTTTTATATTTTGAAATAGAAAAATATGACGCTTTTTTAAAAACATATTTCAACTTATTACAATTGGGCCCAGAAATCTCCGTCTCCTTTGAATTATATATTCTCGCGTCCGTTTGTTTTTTACTGTCTGTTCGTGTTTTAATGTCAAAACAACTGCTTTTTACTAAGAGCATATGAAAATATATACAGTACTTATAACAAAAATCAATTTTTTAAATTTTTGTCTGTCTGTATGTTTGTTCCGGATATACTCTGAAACGGTTCGACCGATTTTGACGGGACTTTCACTGGCAGATAGCTAATGTTATAAGGAGAAACTAGGCTTTTATTTTAGAAAAGGAATTAGGGTTCCACGCAAAAAAAATTAAACCCATTAAATCGTAGTCAATTCCACGCAGACGAAGTCGCGGCGAACAGCTAGTACTTAATAAATTCCTAGTTTTAAGGCTTTAATGTTTAATTAACTAATAATCCTAATCCCTTATTTTAAAAAATAATGATTAATTATTATAAGTTTAATAAATAACTTCGCCCCAGTTTCATCCTTAAAATAGGCTTGTACTTTTTTAATAAAAAGTTTATTTTTCCCTTGGGTAAAACTAAGGGCTAAGGGATTGGCCTATATGAAATCACCCTCATAAAAATTTGAAGTTCTTAAACTCGGTTAATAAAATACTACAACACCAATTAATTCACATCATAAATGTCAGACAATTTTCGACCCTGCCATTTGACTATTGTCTTGTATCACTCCATGAGCAAAGTTACTTGCGACGAAGAACGAGAAATAGCATTGCTAGTAGGTATTTGTATAATCAAAACAAAAACTAAATAAATATTCGCATATTCCCCTCACACTAGGAAATATAGGCAGACAAGTTCGCAATCTTTGTAGCAGACCCGTTTGCTACTCGCCGCCGCCATTTCTATGTATTTTACGTATAGTATGAACAAGATAGATAGTGACGTGGTAGTTCAGTGGCTAAGCGCTCGCTTTAAATTTCACATTACACGAGGAACACGGGTTCGATCTTTGCCGGAACCAAAGAAATCGTATAATTTTAAATACCGATTTGTCTCGGTAGCGAAGGAAAACATCGTGAGGTGCATATCTGAGAAATAAAAAAAATCTAAGACATGTTTTGTCCGCCAACACCCATTATTGTAGGGCGACGGTCACTTTATGTCCTAAAACTAAAAAAATAAAACATAAAAATAAAAAGTCCCCTCTCAGAAATGAATGCCCAGCAGTGGGACGTATATAGGCTCTAACTTTAACTTTAAACAGTCCCTCTATTTATAAGTTTCCATCGTTCGTTTTATACAACTGACATTTATAATACTTACAGGACGACTCATCGAAAAAAAGAAAACGCACAAAGTTTTGGCACCGAATTGGGAAATACGCTCCTCTTATCCACTGCGCGAAAACATCTGGGAGTATTTACACGACGATAAAGAGTTCCGTGACTTTGCGTGCACTAAAGGAAAATCTGTTAAAAAATACAACAAACAACTTCAATACAAACACAAAAGTCGCGGAAAAAACTTTCTCAAATCACTCATATTTCTCCTCTTTGCTTTAGGATTTACAAGTCAGTATCGTCCAAGAAAGTTTTTATAGCACCGTTATTTTATTTATAGCTTTATCTTTAAAATTCAATTTCTTAAAAACTTGTAGTGTCACTTTGGAAGTATAATTCTATCCCAACCATGGATCTAATTGGAAAAGTTATTCCCAAAACTGATTTAATCTCAATACGTAAGTACAAGCGTCTTCTGTTGATAAAAGTAAACAAACTTTGTTTTAGCAAAACTAATTAATCTACACTATGTTTGCCTTCGTCTAGGATTACTGTAAAGGCATGCAGGCATAATATACATTACATAATTTATAAAATCGTGTAGTATTATAACTAATGTACATACATAAATATCTAAAATATAATATGTACATACATTAACGGGTTAATGTATGTACATATTATACTAACTATTATATTTGTACATATTGTACAAACATAAATGACGGGTTAATGAGCTAGATGTTCGTAATTTATGCAGTGAGTATGGATTACTCGACATCTGTCGACGCAGAATGCTGCCACAGGATGAGACACTTAGCCACGGAATTGTCACGAACTCAACAAGCACTTAGGTAACAAGCCAAGTTTTCATTACAGTGCTCGGTAGAAGCAGAAACATATGAATTTAATTAGTTTTCACTGTAGAATTGCATAAAATTATTTTATAATTGCAGAAGCGCATTACGTCTGCGACGAAATTTAATGCTTACCACACAAATGTCCATACCAGGTACAGTGTTTTGTTTAGTATTAAGTTTTATAAGTAAGCATTTATTTAATTTAAGCTACATTTATAAATTACTATATTATAGTATTATACTAAACATAAGGTTATATAGACAGCTTAGGAGACTCATTATATCTACATATACATGTTGTCCATAGACGGTATAAAAATTATTATGTTAGAAAAGTCTTGTGACTGCAAATAAATAACGAGTTAACCATCTACAAACCGCCACACCTTAAATATCCAAACTAATGATGAGTTACCCAACCAGACACTTACATATTATGTTCAGCAATAGATTGTTATAGTTGGATTTTCATTTGGTTGTTACGACTGTGAGCAATAAGTATCTTGGTTTTTCGATAATCTCCAAAGTAGTTCATCATCATCATCATCATCATTACAGCCCTTCACAAGTCCACTGCTGAACATAGACCTCCCCAAGGAATGCCACGAAGCACGGTCCTGAGCCACCTGCATCCATCGACTTCTTGCATGTCTTAGCAGATCATCACTCCATCTAGTAGGGGGACGCCCTGCCGATACGAGCCTGCCACTCGAGAACCTTTCTTACCTATCGGTTGTCGGTTCTTTGAACTATATGGCCAGCCCATTGCCACTTCAGCGTACCTACTAATCCGTTGGGTTATTTCGGTCACTCTGGTTCTGCTGCCTCCTCATTTCTAAATTTATCACGCAGAGAAACCCCGAACATAGCCCTCTCCAAAGTAGTTGCCGCTGGGTAATTCATAATACCCAAAAGATAGAATATGTTTTTATCTCGTGAATATTACTCCTGGTTGCACTCAAGGCGTGTTAGTGTTACTTTCGTCTCGTTTTTTGTTAGGTTTTTGTTATAAGCTCATTATCAATATTGTGATATAATAGTTAATCCTATACCACATGCATGAATACAGAATTCATTAAATTGCGACATTTCACAACCAAGCTTTTCAGCGAATAAGTTTTGCAAAAGACATTGAAATCAAAATCAGTCCAAAGATTGGTAAAAGGTGAACAGTAGATCAATCGAAAATACTCTAAACTGCAAATATTTTTTAGAGATATTGTAGTAAATTACATTATTATGATGCGGGACCCTTTCATGAAAAAATTTCCAACCAGTAGGCAGATAAGAGTTACTGGAGTAAACTTAGTAGTTCTCTATAATTTTCAGGTTGGTGCTGTTATTGATAGATATATCGTATAGATTATCGTTATTATATCGAATAGCGCCATCTGTTTTTCAGAAATGCATCTCCATTTTTTTTATTTTGCCCACACCGTGTATTTCTGTTCTTATTTACTTTTCTTCGATTTTACTTTTGCCTTTTATTTATTTATTTTTTTATTTTATTTTTTTATTTATTTATTACAAAGTATAGTTATTTAATAACATCCGACAGTACAAATAAACTTACAAAAGTTTTTCCATGTACCGCCATTCGTAACTTCGATCATGTTCAATCGGTTCGCGTTGCGACAACTTATTTAATGACGTATTACTTATTTTAATGGTGGCTATTTTATGGAGACTAACTTATTTAAATGGTGTGACAAAAATAGCAAGATTTTCTTTTTCAACTAGGTGTGTACCAAAGCAAAATATGGTTAGTATTAAATGAAAATTATTAATTGAGATAGTAATGTTATAATTGTGTGTATCTATGTATATATTTATTAGTAAAATTTTATTTATGTATATTATAATATTATGATGTGTTTTAGTGATTATAGTTTTATATTTTAGTTTAAATTATTATTAGGTATCGTTAACAATTTGTCGATAAAATACTGTTTAAGCATATATTTAATATTTTTTCAATAATTTCATTTTTTATTGGTTTGGGAATTTGGTTCAAAAGAGCGGGAATTTGATATTGTAATCTAAATTTTCCGTACATATCTTTGTATTTTGGGATAATCATATATGGATTGAGGGCTTGTCGAGTAAGTTTTGTATAAATACGGCTAATTTTTAATTCTTCCTTGCCATAATTTTCAAGTAGCAATAGGTATTTCACTTTGTCGCGTACTGGTAGTATTTTGCAATGATGGAAAAGACCGTAGGGATTTTTTTTATATTTATCTTTTATTTTGAGAGGGGTGATACATTTAAGGATGCTCAACTGTAGCTCGTATATTTTTTCAAGGTGGGTTTTATAAGTGCGTCCGTAACTGCTTAACCCGTACGAGACTATTAATTCGCCGAGTGCATTATATAGTAACAGTAACATCTGTTAAGGTACTTTCCTCTTGATGAGATAAAATTTTGCAAGGATTGCTCATAGCTTGTCGCATACAGATTCAATGTGATCAGTCCATTTCATACGATCATCAATTATTAAACGTAAATACCTACATTTTTCTACTATTTCAATTTGGGGACATTCACAATTGTTATTATGGGCTTAATTTTGGATATTATGAAGACATGTGTGATTATGAGCTATAAGAGTAATGTTATGTTTTAATCTATTTTGACTTGAGCTAACGTAAATCATTTTAGTTTTATTCGAATTAAGTACTAGACCTGCGTCATGTGACCACTGCATGAGCTTCGTAAAGTCTTCTTGTAACAGTTTTACTGCCTTATCCATATTGTGGTGGGCTACCACCAGACATGTATCGTCGGCAAATTAGAAAATGTTTGAGTTTTTAATCATTTTATTGATATTATTCACGTAAGTGATGTAGTATAGCGGTCCTAATACTGAACCCTGTGCTGTACCTTCACTTACCAAAACTTTATTACTTAATATATCCCCTACCTTGACATAATAGGAACGATTTTTGAGATAATCTTGACACCAATTAAGCATTGGCCCTCTAATTCCACAATCGTCTAGTCGCTCTAACAGTACATCATGACGTAAAGTATCGAACGTCCTACTATAGTCGATAAATAACAGCAATACATGTTTTTTTTTTCATTAAGATTTTCATATATGTTATCGGTAAATAGGGAAAGTAACTGAGTAGTGCTTTTTTGGGTTGAAATCCAAACTGTGTGTCATTTAGAATATTATTCAAACCATAAATGTAAGAAATTTGTCTTGCTATGTATTTTTCTATTATAGGCAATATAGTAATAGGACGGTAATTGTCGTAGTCCTGTTTACTTCCCTTTTTGTATATAGACAAACTTTAAAGTTTATCCCACATAGGCAAGCACTATCGACCGGTGGTCCGCCAGCATAATTCCAAGCGCTGCGGTGTAAACATCTTGCGTGCGTGATCTCGCGTACACATGATCAATACAGGATTCAGTTATTATATCGTCAGTTAATTCAATTTTAGTGTACTGTGTAATCTCGTACGCAAGGCCGTAGTTATGAAGCATGCAGTTATATTTATGTATTATAGGAGAATATTTTTTTAAGTCTATGTTCATATCTCCGAGTATAAATAGTTCGCACTTTTTGTCCAGACTACCGATTAATGTGTGAAGTTCGTCAATAAATAAGTGTTTACTTAGATTAGAAGGGCGATAAATTGCACATACATTTGCCGCATAAAAAGATGGAGTGCTAATTTGAAATAGTATATGTTCAAAATATTTTGTTGTTACGTTACTTATTCTTGTTAACTTATTTTTCTTGTGTATATATGCTATAATACCGCCACCCCTTCGGTTTTTACGCAGCATTGTGTGCATTTGATAGTCCGGCAGGTGATACATGTCGCTTAGGGAGTCAGGTATATTAGCTTCCGTTACTAATATAATATCTATAGATGCGTTAGATTCGTACACACACTGTTACAATGCATCAAAGTTTTTAATCAAAGACCTTATATTTATGTGCATGCATAAAAGCTTAGTTTGGCAATTTTTAATAGGAATATGTTTTAGAAATTAATTAATGTTAGTGCAATTACTCAATTCACAAATATCGTCTAACTGTATGTCCATTAAAATAATATTTTAATATATTTTATGTGAAAGGTAGTACCTATATAAAATAACTTATTGCGGCTGTACATGGACTTCCTTTTGTAGCAAAGCTTTAATGTCTTCATCAGTTCTAATAATTATTAATTGATCTTTTTCACTGTTTCTTGCTCTAATGATTCCTTTTTTGCACCACACATATTTGTATAATCCGCTATTCTTAAGTTGTCTTCTGGCATTTCCAAGTAAGGTCTTATTGTATGCAGTTAATGCCTCACTAATATAAATGATTTATTTACCAATCAATGGTGATGAGCTAGGAAAGATATCATGTACCATAATCTTCGTATTCTTTGCTTTTGTAAGCCAATTTGTTTTAATAGTTTCTGACGGTAGAACCACACGTAGTTTTCCGGAGTTATTTTTATTATAACCAAAACGCTTTACTTCTACGATATTTTTAGTTAATTCTAGTGTTTGTTGTATTTTTTGTACGACTTTTGAAAGATCTTCGTTGTCAGTGAAGGGAATATTAAAAATATCAATAGTTTTACTAAGCTGTTGCTGCTCTTGTTCCTGTAATCGCTGTTCTAATGCACTTAATCTAAATTCTAAGCTTTTATTTTGGTTAGATAATTCGATGTTCTTTATTTTTCATTTCTTTGACTGTAGTTTTAAACGCGTCTATGGTTTCGAGTATATCATCAAGTTTTCTAGAATTGAATTCCAAAGACTCCGCAAACTGGCCCAATTAACGTTGAATAGCATTCTCCACTTTTGTTATTTCTAGCATCAGTTTTTTACCATCTAATGGAACAGATGCAGAGTCTTCATCATCCGGTATTACAATCGAAGCTCGTCTATATAAGGTGTTTTTGCATTCAGAATACGACCAATCTAGGTTTTCATTTGCACGAAGCGCATTTCTTTGTTTGGTAGTAAGCCCTGAGCATTCAGTGTTCAAATGCACCATCTTCTCACAACGATGACACTCCACTCCAGGACGAGTTTTCGTAATATTTTTGTTGCACTTTTCACACTTTGACATAATGCTGTTTGACATAAAATTATTTTCTGCAACCGAACGTCCGATTGACACGAGCTTGCGGAAATGAATAATTTCAAATCAAATTTTCAATAGAATCGAAAAATTTCATAAGATTAACAGTTTTAGTATCGTAAAAATACAATTGATAATCTATAAGATACCTGGTATGATTATAAATTCTGTTTATATATATACATAATAAGTGGCAAACGAGCACACAGTCCACTGATGGTAAGTGGTTACTGTGACCCATAGACACCAACATCTATCCACGATTACGAATCAAAATGCAGATGCGTTGTCACCCGTGAGGACTAAGTAGAAATACCTCGTTTCCAGTAAAAGGGTCTCCGGTTCTCTACACTCACCATACGAAACACAAAGCTTTAAGCTTCTATTTTACTCTGGTATTCTGTGAGAGCGTGGCCCTACCCCGGTCGAGCCGACCCATTCATGATCATGCTACAATTAAATAGCTGCAGCGCGGCTCAATTACGTCAGAATGCATATCTGTTGCACGTTAAAATGCATATCTTTTGGTCTAAAAAATAAAATATTTCAATAAAATGTGAAGTTCGTCCACATAGGAGGCCTGTGCTCAGCAATAGGACGTGTAAAGGCTAACTTTAATCTTACCATAAAATAATTAAAATTTGCCGCTAATTTTCTGGATATTTGGCCACATAGAATACTAGTATTCTATGTTTGGCCACAATGTTTTCCTGCTGCTGTTTTAAATTGAAAACAAATCTTCAATCTTTAATTAATAATAACCCCAAGGGATTGCGCTTCCTAGCTGTTTCTTAAATAAGTTTTGTAAGTAATTTGTACAACCTGCGTTTTATTATATTATTTTTCTTAGAAAAAAGTCCCGCTGGGTTTATTGCTTGTTCTTCTCAGGAAAGATTTTTTCGAACCAGCCGTGGTAAAAAATGGTCTTTGAATAAGAAGCACTTGTGTCATCTATATTTAATAAAAAATATTATATTCTTCTTTTTATTCTTAAAGAGCCCGTAAAAGTTCACTGACGGATACGGGCCTTTCATAGTGTGGATTGGCCATAATGGCCGCGCTTCGCAGGCAGCTTGATGATTATTATAATAAGGCAGTAACAGACGTTTGACACCTTTGACGTTGTTAGACGCAGTCTAGCGTAAACGAGATCGGAAGCCATGAAATCCCAGAAATGCGGATTAATGGATTTATACTTCAATAATTAATGAATATAATGGTCGTAACCATAATATATTCATTTACCTATGATGTGAAAAGCATTCATTCAAAACCTTAAAGTATATTAAAACTGTCTTCATAAATTTTTAATTATCTACACGTTCAGAAATTATAAACGTTGTTGAAAATCTCGACAAACCATATATAAAATACGGACAAATATTAAACAAATCTAAACTAGAAGTGTACGCAAAAGTCGGCCTAAAATATGCGAAAATATCCTGTAGAGTACTGTTGAATTCTTTTAAAACTATTTTCCCGTTGCAATAATAGCTTGCTTTTACATCACTAATGTGTTAGAAAATCTTGTTTTTTTTTTGCTATTTGCAGAATACACTGACGACAAAAGCATAATGCAAAGGGGCTATGTAGAGGGGTCGAAAGCTTCAAAAGGCAGCGACACTAAAGAATGGGGCGGGCGTGTAGCTCTCTGGGGAGTCGTGCCGCTGTGGCGCGCTTCGCCTCCACCAGACACCATACTGACATTACGGACGCCAACGCCATCCGATTGCTGGCCTTTTAGGTGAATCACCTTACCTTTGATACTATAAACGACAATAAAATTCTGTTATTGTTCCCGGGATTAAATTATTTCAGTACAATAGATTCCACTTTTTCATCCTACACATTAATTGTGCAATTTTAACCGACTTCAAAAAAGGAGGAGGTTCTTAATTCGCTTGTACGTTTTTATTTATCTTTATGTTTGTTACCTTAGAATTCCGTCATTTTATCAAACGACACACGTGCGTGGGTGCGTGCGTGCGTACGTGCGTGCGCGCGCGCGCGCGTGCCTGCGTGCGTGCGTGCGTGCGTGCGTGCGTACGTGCGTGCGCGCGCGCGCGCGTGCCTGCGTGCGTGCGTGCGTGCGTGCGTGGGTGCGTGCGTGCGTACGTGCGTGCGTGCGCGCGTGCGTGCGTGCGTACGTGCGTGCGTGCGTGCGTGCGTGCGTGGGTGCGTGCGTGCGTACGTGCGTGCGTGCGCGCGTGCGTGCGTGCGTGCGTGCGTGCGTGCGTGCGTGCGTGCGTGGGTGCGTGCGTGCGTACGTGCGTACGTGCGTGCGTGCGTGCGCGCGTGCGCGCGTGCGTGCGTGCGTACGTGCGTGCGAGCGCGCGTGCGTGCGTGTGTGTGTGTGTGTAATATTTTTTTTTAACTTTGCTATGCATTGTATCAACAACCCTGGTCTGGCCCTGGTCGTTTTTTTTTATTTTTATTGCATAGGTATATTAATTAAAAAATCACAGCCTACATACATCTCACTGTGCCTCATTCCGGAGTGGATTATAGGGCAAAGAACAGTCCCCATCGCCGCCTCAATGCATCTTGGCCGTGACCTAGAATTTTTTTAATTTCTCTTTCTACAGTGCCAAGCAGATGGTAAATTAGAGCGTTTACCATCTGCTTGATACCAGCGATGGTAGAACTCGGTTTGCTTGAGTGCTTTTTCTATATATTCTATGTTTTTTTTTTCTTGTAAAAAATTTCTTTTCATATTAATTAAATGAAACGCTAATGGGGCGTAGACTTTTGGTTTTTCCAAACTATTTTATTATACGTTTTCGAGAATGTGTTTTTACCATCAAACGTACAGCCTAGTGGCCAGAGTAATTTACTACTACAGTGGGGACATTACTACCAATTTGGTTTAATAAGTAAAATATGATATTTAGTGCGAATATGTGTGTGTGTAATATGTAGTACCTACGTGGGGCTAACACTCCAAATATCGGATGCTATCAACCACGTAGTACCGAAATGTTTGAAATGGGCACGGAGAACGTGGTATCAGATATGCAAAGTACCTAAAGGCAAGTGTCCCTATATTTGTGTTAATAAATACGACGCTATACATATATCCTGCTCAGAGGACCATAATAAGTATTAACGTCAAAAATTTAATCCTTTACAAACGCACACATTTCATAATTTACCATCAGCTTATGACAGTCCACTCACGGAATTGGATCGAAGGTAAATTTGCTGTTACCCCTGCACTTGACAAATCGACAATCGTACTACGAATACGAAACGCCTCATACCTAGAAAGACGCCGTCATCGATGAGATATTTTAGGTCTGTTGATTTTAAGATTTTTATTTCACTACTCGACCATATACCACGATTACTATAACATTTTCATGTTAATAATTTTCCTTTAATCGACTTTTATGACATTTACGGAATGAAAGATGATGGATTCTATTAAAAAAGAATCCATCATTTCTATTAAATCGTCACTATAGAGTGACTGGTAGAGAATGTCTCAGTCATTGAAGTTGAATAAATAAATATTTTAACAATACGGCGCTGTGTTCAGAGAATTATATATTAATAAAAAATTAAGTTAAGTAGTTTAAGTCAAAATTAGTCTAATAAAATACCATGTAAAACACAAATTTTATCATTGTGAAATTTAAGGTTTTTAACTCAAAATTGTCTGTAATTTTTTTACATAACTTTAAGTACATTACACATTTTATGCTTCCAACCTCGTCAACAGCGGATCATACGGAGAAGTTATTATCGAGTTAGCACATAAAGCAAAGCTAAACTATATCAGTGTAGAGCACGTGCGTCCCGATACTGCTCGCAGCGCGCCTAAGAACTTTGTCGTTTACGTAAGTTGCATTAGCTCAATAATAAGCACTAAGCTCTTAATAAATGTTTATTCAGCTTCCTTAAACGAGTTATATATCTTGAAATATTATAAGACGCATGTGTAATTTTATAAGGTATTAACTAAAAAGAACTAAGTAACCGTGTAGTAGTGGTGTGAGAATATCCACTACCCCATATCGCCATGTGGTGGTGCAAGCGACAAAGGGAAACTAAAACAAGATAGGCAGCAGCACCTTCCTGATAATAACTCAACATTATTTTAAAAAAAATTGTTACCAACGCGCCTATCAAACGCGGCGAACTATGACAAAATAAGAAAATTTATGGGGCAGGTCTATTCAGCACTGAACTTTTATAGGTTGCAATGAATTCTTAAAATATCATAGTTATTTATTGATATTAATAGTGATGATCATTATCATATCATTACACAATAAAAATTACGATTTTGACTCAACTTTACCTTAATAGATGGAGGTTATTATATAACCTTTTGTCTACCAGGTTAGACAAAAGCTTAAGTTAGCCCAGAAAATGACTTTCTTACTCTTATCATCAAAGTTCCTTTTGAGAATGAAGCCTGAGAAACCAAGAATATATTATGATATATAGAATTTAAGAATTTCATTCCTCAATGCATCATTGTAATAGTCGCATATTTTTAATATTAAACTGGATTTCAATTACAAGTTGTGTATAGTAGTTTGATGAGTATTCTAAGTTAGAAATGAAAAATAATTATATAAACAAAGGCACCTGCTGACTGCTAAGTTAATACGGGAGAAAATCTATCTTAGATCTATCTTAGCGATCTATCTAGGCGATCTATTTAGGCGATCTCTCTTAGATCCTACTTTCCATTTAAAATTGTTAGTTCGTCAAGTCATCCACCTCCTGTTGATTCTGCTGAGCATTTGCTGGTTGAGGTCTCCCTGTCTCAGAATAAAATCCTACTTGGAGTTTTTTACAGTCCCTCTCTTTCTATAAATTATTTTATTTCTGTCGAATCTCTTTGAGAATCACTAGTCCCTACGTATAGTCACACTATTTTGATGGGTGACTTTAACACCTGTTTGCTTAAAGGCGATAATCGGTCTACAAAACTTGAGTCTATAATTGAAGCGTGTAATATGCAAATCATACCCCTTTCTGCTACTCATAACTTTCCTAACAGTACTCCTTCCTTCCTTAACTTAATAATAGTGTCATCTTCAAATCTACTTTTCAAGCATGGACAGTGTCCTGCTGATGCATTCTCTTATCACGATTTAATTTTCCTTTCGTATAAACTACGCCCTCCTAAAATCAAACCTAAATTAGTTCTGCGACGTAATTTTGGAGGAATGGATATTGACCAACTTTGTGAAGATGCTTATAATATTGACTGGTCAGTGACTGAGAGAGCACCATGCATTGACGATAAAGTGGAACTATGTATGTTATTTTATTGCTTTTATTATCTACATATCGCATGTACGTAGGTCACTCAATAAGTTTTGAGATGCTCGAAATTTAAAAATGGAACACACAAATGTTATATGTTTCTTAAAAGCAAATTTATTTAAAAATAGAACTCCATAAGCCAATTGGTCAATATTAAAAATAAAACAAAGTTATATTAATTTTCCTGCAACGCGTCCCGCGCTTTTCATTTAAAACGATGGATCTTAACCGTGAACAGTTGCGCGTTATGATATATTATGATTTTAAATTTGGTTTAACCGAACAATTAAGTTTACAACTGTTATAATCAGCATTAGGGGACTCAGCTCCGTCACGCGCAGCAATTTTTGTTGGTTTGCTGAATTCAAAAGGGGTAAAATTAATCCTAAATATGACCAAAGAACCGTGGCCCCGCAAACAGCAGTAACGGCAGAAAATGTATGGACTACTGAAATGTTGATGCGAGAAGACCCACGAATCACATATACGGACATCGGAAAGATTGTAGGCATTAGTTCGGAGAGCATTCATACCATCTTACATCAACATCTTGGAGTGAGGAAGCTTTGTTGTCGATGGATCCCTCGTTTGCTCTCCAAAAGCGAAAAACAGACTCGTGTGGATTGGTGCCATGAACGAACTACGTATTAAAAACGGGGCGTCTAGGCGTGTTTCAGAAATCGTTACTGGTGACGAGACATAGATCTATCAATATGATCCGGAAAATAAAAGGCAATCATCGGTATGGTTCTACTCAGAAGGACAGTTACCGACAAAACTGCAAAGACCTCGCAACGTCGGCAAAAAAATAGTGGCTAGTTTTTTTTCGCGGAGAGGACATTTGTCGACGTCACTGCTGGAAAATTGTAGGTCAGTCAACTCCGAATGGTATACTACAGTTGCATTACCCAAAGCTTTTCAATCTGTGCGGGAGAGAAGACCAAAGACCGGGCTTCGGGGAATCATGCTGCATCACGATAACGCATCTTCACATACCTACCAAGATTTTTCAAGCGCCGAAGAAACCGTGGCTGCCTACGAAGAAGCGATTTCCGACCTGTCAGATCAAGACTGGCAAAAGTGTTTTCAGAGTTGGTTTAGGTGAATGGAACTCTGTATAGATCATGATGGAGAATATTTTGAAAAGATGTAAAATAAATGTTAATAGTATCTAGAATACTTTTTGTATATCTCAAAACTTATTGAGTGACCTACGTACTGATATTATATGTTGTATATTTATATTGCACCACCTACCACCTACCCATTCATTGTTTTATTCTTCTACACCTTCGGTTGCCTGGAAGAGATCGCTATACAGCGATAAGGCCGTCAAATTTTATATAATATAATCTAATTTTTGTTATATCATTTGTATATTTGTTCGTGGTGTACAGTACTCGTAAAAGTATATTCATTCATTCGTTCAATCTATTTTTTACTGGACAAGACACGAAAAATTACCTAACCTAACTTTGCTTATCTCTAGACTATCTATAAAGAAATGGCTAATTATTGAAATATAAAAGCCGATCCAAAAACAGAAAATAAACATAACCTAAATATTCTTACAGGGCATATTTGAGAATAATACACGGTTGGAAACTGCGCGTGGTACTTACACATACAACAAGCCAGCTAAACAATACTTCCCACTAAGCGACAGAAACTTGCCCGTTAAAAGTGTGGCATTCAAAGTGCTGTCCAATCAGGGAAACCCGAAGTACACTTGCGTGTACCGAGTTCATTTATACGGGAGCGATGTTAATAAGCAGAAACTTTTATTGTAATAAAGATTTATTAGAAATTCGTGTGTATTTGTTTCTTTTCAATTAAAAGAACTTATAAGTTAATTAATTAATAAATTAAGTAAATAAAAGTAGTTTACAAAGAACGAGGATATCTGCACCAAAGTAACCGACATAGCCCAAAGAATTAGTATGCTGAATTGGCAATGGGCCGGCCATATAGCTCGAAGAACCGACAACCGATGGAGAGGAAAGGTTCCCGAGTGGCAGCCTCGTACCGTCAGGCATTGTAGGGCGTCCCCCCACTAGATGCAGCGACGACCTGGTAAGACATGCAGTAAGTCAATAATGCAGGTGGCTCGGGACCGTGGTTTGTGGCATTCCTTGGGGAAGGCCTATATGTAGCAATGGACTTGTGAAGGGCTGTAATGAATGAAAAAAAAAGTATTTAACAAAATATTTCTTTTAATTTTTTCCAAAGAGTGATGGAGATTCCGCTAGAATGGGAATCACCCTTTTATCTATTTCTGTCTCTGACAATGCAATTGCGTTCAAAAAAAGCCGAGTTAACTACGGATACCAACAACCCGTAAAATCTACCTTTGTAGTGAGAATTTGCTTGTCAAACACAGTTTCTGAGCATACTAGCGTAAAATAACAGCTTAACGCTGCTGTGTTACGTATGGTTAGTGTAGAGAACCAGACACCCTTTTTGCTGGATACGATGCATTCAATCTTGATCATCAGTGTGTACAGCCGATCTGCATTTTGACTTTTACTAAGATAAATGTATGGACCACAATATCCACTTATCATTAGGTGAACTGTGTGCTCATTTGTCACACTTAATCTTTAAAAAAAACGACGAACGACAATATCTAATAAGACGCATGGCACCATTGACGCTACTGTCTGTTGCCGGACTGTATATTTTACGTCTGGTGTAAACGGGATGATGTGTCGGAAGCCATAACATTCTTCACAATTTTCCAGTCATAACGTAAACAATTTGAATAAGTATTGTATAAATAACATAAAACGGGGGTTGGCAGAGACTGCGGACTTCCATTTGGCACGATCCTGACACACCTCTCTTGCCTCCATCACTTCCATTCATTACTATTTTCCATAGACATACGGCAATATTCCTAGCTATGTGGTAATCGTTTTTTGATTAAAACTTAAAATAAAGGCTTCCTATGAACTCGTTAATCACTAATAACTTATAGGAAATGACAATTTACCAGTAGGTATGAGAGATTTAATATTCCGTATGTAAAATACATATATTTTAACGTGTTCAAAACATGCCAGTTTATTAAAGCTACAGTACAAATCGGTCTTACAGAAAAACATTTATTGGAATTACAAAATATGTGTTGTCTACATACTAACCTATTTCCACTATACCAGTTCAGATTCAGAGTCCGTTGGGCATTCTCATTACTTGTCTACCGAATGCCACGCAGACAGCAGTCTGCATTACATTGTTGTCAATTTTCGAATTTCAGAAGCGTAGACCTTTGTGGGATGCCAGTATTAATTGGTTTATTACCAAAGCAATGTCTATCAGTGTACACTACAGTCGTAGCTGTATATATCTACTTCATTCTACATTCACACCTTATATAATTTATTTGCTACATTATGCACATTATGCAATAGAGGTAGGTGATTTTTAAGGTTCTATGTAGTTAATATAAAACCGATTCAACTATATTACTAGAAAGAAATATGCTTGTAAAAGTGTATAGAAAGGAAATTTGAATACGATTCTCAAAGGTGGAAACTAACAACACTTTTTTTGTTTACGTTTGGTTTCGTCGAATTAATAACCGCCAACGACTCGTCATTATTATGCACTAAGCATATACTTGGTACGCAATATAAGCATTTTATTATACGATAACGACGGATGTTTGTTCATAAAATATTTTTTATAGCTTGAAACTAGCGTGCACTTAGCTTTATAAGCTTAGCTGATATAAATAAAGTTTTCATTAGATAAGTAATTCATAAGATATACTTGTTGTAAATGTGTAAGTAGCTGAAGCATGGTTCTACCACGTAGAAAGGTATTTGAGGTGTAAGGGGTCTAGAACTTTTGTCGCCAATCACAGACGGATTCAGAGACTTTAAAGTGGTATAGGCAAATCAAATTTACTTGTATCCTTTTTGCCACCAATCAATACTGTGCACAACTGTGTCCCAATCTGAATGGTATAGAGCACGAGTTCCCAAACTTTTAAGGTAATGGAACAGACACCAAATTACTTTTGTTTTATGAAACCTCACATCAAAAATTATTACATATGCAGACAGTGCAATTATAATCTTTATATATAAATATTACGTGTCACGTTGTTTGTCCGCGATGGACTCTTAAACTACTGAACTGATTTCAATGAAATTTTGCACACTGTGTGCATTTTGGTCCAACTTAAGAGATAGGATAAATGACTTTCAAATTTTTTTATTGCGAATTTAAGGATTTTTATAAGAAGGGTCGTTGGAAAGGGCAGAACAACGTCTGCCTGGCGAGCTAGTGTTATAATATATTTCTCGCTAACTACTTACGTAGATATAAAAGTAATGGGTTCTTCTCATCATATATTTTGCACCAATTCAAAATAATGTTTAATATCAAAGCGTAAAATTACTTAACAAGCATACTTAAGTAATTTCGCGAAAACCTGGTAACTTTTCCACGGAAGCCTTAGGTTCCGCGGAACCCATTTAAGGAAACTCTGGTATAGACAGCCAGTATAACTACAGGTTAAGAGGCGTTCCATCATAGGCTGCAGTAGCCACTTACTATCAGGTGTACTGTTACTTCGCTTTTCACTTCAATTCTATAACAAAAAAATTGGGTAGAGTATAGCAGTAGACTTTTCAGGACTTGACGATAATGATGAAATTAGTACAATTTCGAAATTTCGTGTTGATGCTGTAAATTGAACAATTTATTAACTTCGAGTTGAGTATATAAAATTGTTTCTGATTTTATTATGTAAATCGCAGTCAACGCTCTACTTCACATTGCACAGCTTGCCAACAAGCAAAACGTAAATACTTATTTCCTTTGTGGCGCTTCAAAAATACTATTTCAGCGACGCTACATAATAACAATAAAATACTATGAAACAAAAGTTACCATTGGCACAAAATATTAACAGTACTGTTAAAAAATAACAATAGGTTGTTTAAAGGTTGATGCTTTGTCATTTTTACCCAATAATACAATTCGTGCAAATTTCGAGAACAGTGAGTATGTACTGATTATTAAAAAAAAATTGTATGTTCCATAGAAATCGACCGTCCAACCGTTAATATAAGCATCAATTATTAAAGTCATTAATTTATTACTATTAAAGTTACAATGCCGGGATAGGATAGGATTTTTTTATCGAATAAGGGTACATACAACCACACAGTCCTCCTGATGGTAAGTAGATGTTGTGGCCCATAGACAACTACATTTATCCTCAATTAAGTATCAAAATGCAGATACATTGTCATCCCTGAGGACTGAGATGGAATGCCTCGTTTCCAGTAAAAAGGGTATTCGGTTCTCTACAATCACCATACGAAACACAGCAGCATTAAGCTGCTACTTTACGCTGGTATTCTGTGAGAGCGTGGTTAGGACCCCGGTCGAGCCGACCATATATAGCTGCAGCGTGACTCTACCACGTAAAATGTCAAAAATGTCTTATGGCTTCCGATAGATGGCGGTGTAACCATCGCATTTATCTCAGGTGTGTAAAATAACGAAAACCGGCAAACATAACTAAAATAAATAACCAAACTCAAGAATACCCAGACTTGTCAAAAGCGCTCACGTCTGGTAGTGTGATTATCAATTCGCTTGCCAAGCGTGACGATTAAAGCCAACCCTCCCTATAACGGGAGAGGCCTATGTCCAGTTGTAGACTTTAACGGCTGATGAAAAAGGAGAGAGTTAGATAAAGGCCGTAATCATTGATTAAGACGACAGTTGACAGCCAGTTCAAAGGCTAAGCGCTCTCCGTAAGGATTTCACATACCTTCGAAATAATTTATCTCTCAGATATGCACGCTTCATCGAAATCGAAAATCATATAAAATCATTGCACGAAAATTTTCTCGCTTTAAATTCATGCTGACGTAACACAGACAATTTTCAATTTGCCACCAAATTGTAAACAAAAAAACATGTAAATATTTATCATCATCATTCAAGTCGGCCAACATACTTCACCTAGACCTTAGTTAGACCTCTTAAACAGCCCTTAGTTCGCGTTGGCGGCAAATGACAAATTAATAAAATACATACAATAATATTGGCAAAGAGTTCCATTTTCAAAATTGGAACTTATTTTTTTAATATATCGTTTACAAGTGGCCAGTTCTAAAAACTTTCAGTGTCACCCTCGTATTGTGTATCGGCTTAAAGCGCTTAGCAAAATAAAATTTCAGTCAAAATAGGTTTACACAGCTGGGTCCTTTCGTATTTTTAGATAATATATAAGTAAAAGAGTAAATAGTCCGCCGCGCTCCTCTACAATACGTGTTAGTAGACTTCATGTTCTCTTTTTTATGAAACTGAAGTAACAAGCGAACTTACAGCCCAGTGGCTACTACAGACCATGTAAATCTGTAACCAAAAGAAATAAAGCACCTAGGAGGAATAAGATGGATTGCCTTACAGCCTGTTATTATACTGTCTTTCTATACAAAGAGGCAAAAATAGGCAAGAGGATAATACCTACCTAGACGGATTCGTAGGCAGAAAATTAGTCATACCACCTAGTAGAAAGGAGTCTAGTCTATCACATAGTGAAAAGTACTCCTACCACCTATTAAAAATATTTTTTACAAAATATTTCTTTCTCTTCAAAATATTTTTTTCTTATAATTCAGGTTCCCCCGTAATGTTTGACTTCAAGCACGCAAAATTTTCATTCATGAATCGATCTTGGGTAGCTCACCTAGTACGAAATTTATAGCGAGCGCTTAGCTCTTGATACCACCAAAACATCCATACGTATTACGCAAATCGT